CAGGGACCTGAGGCTACAGGTAGCAGAAGCAGCATGGAGAGGAAAGGAGTGGGGAACAAGGGAAGGGAGGGCTGGGGGCGGGGAGGAGTGGGTGGGGCAAGGTAGGCACAACAGGGGGTAAGTGGGGTGGGGACAGGCAGCAGGGGGCAAGCTGATTGCTTTGCTCACTGCCTGCCCCCTACCACCTGCCTCCTGCCCCATTACTACTCCCTCCCCAACTGTCTCCTACTGCCTATCCCATTACAGCCCCCCTCATCATCTTTTTCCCCCACCACTTGCAGTAGTGGGGGGAGGACAAATTTAAGATGGTGCTGCAATAATTAGATTCTACACACAGAAAATTATAACACATTTATAACAATTTTCTGTGTGTAGAATCTAATTATTGGGGGGGGTTGCCTTGCAGTTGAGTAAAGCTGGTACACTTCTGCCAACATTACAATATCTACCCCCATTTTTATAATGACTAGGGCAGCAAAAATCTGTTCCATTGGGAAGAGGTGATCCCCAAGACAAAAGAACTGCTCCCTTTTCCTTCTTCCTGCTTATGCCTAAGGAACACCGTGTCTATATGGTTCCTTGCCTATTCACTCAAATACTTAAATAACACACCTATGCCTCTGGAAATGGGCGTTTAGATGTGTGGGGGGGGAGGAAAGAGCAAAAGGATGGGGTGAGGTCTGGCAAGCTAAACCTTATGCAATATTTCATGTACTCAATCTAATACTCCATCAGTTCAACCAAACTGCCATCCACTCCATCCAGGAACCCAAAGTTTTGTCTGCCCAGTTAACATAGCAAATCTAGAACCAGCCAAGTTTCCTACTCCAGCTCCTCACCTGACCACATTGGGGTGCTCAAAGGTCTCCAGGTGCCTCAGTACCGCCACCTCACGGATGGTGGAGAGCGGCATCCCCTCCTCGCTTGTCTGCACCCGCACCCGCTTCAACGCTACAAAACGACCTCCGTTCTTCAAGTCTCGGGCCTTGAATACCTTCCCATAGGCTCCTTCGCCAATCTCAGCCACACATTCATACTGCTGGTCAGTCAGGTTCGTGCTGTCCTTATCCATGCTGGCACAGCTTCTCCTTCTTTCCCTGGAGTCTCAGATGTATTGCTGAACTGGCTGTTGCCTGCAAACTAGGACTTTGATGGCACTGACACAGCCCCACAAAAAGTGTATGCAGAACTGCCACTACTAGAGGAATAGGTCGAATGGTCTCCCTCCTTGCTCCCCTTTCCTGCTTCAGTACAATCCTCAATGTGCCTTCTTTCTTGGCCACCAGCAATTATCATATGGCCTTTGGGATCATTGTCTGTGTAAAGTCAATATGATCTAAAATACAAAAACAAAGCAAAAGAGGTTCATTTGTGCTGGGTTGTCTCCCCTCCAGCCCACAACATGCACATTTCACTTCACCATTACTTTGTACGGTTTAATAATTGTGAAAAAATAAACTACTGTGCACTACTGGATTAGATGGGTGTACACAAAACATGATATGATGCAGAGGAGTGAGGATATGTGGAACACAGTAGGACTATAAATGTATAAATGACATTATAGGTTAAGGTGTAAGCACAACACTGTGTGGTAAATACGGTTTGCACAATGTATTACGATAGGGCTAAGTGGATCAGTTGTATGTTTTGGGATTACACTGAACACCAGACAATGGGATACACACCACTTTATGACAGACAGGATGCATAGCAGAGCATGCATGATTGGGATTTATGATCAAGAGTGTACGATTTACAAGTCTGCTGAATATCTTATGGTGAAATGTTTGGGCTATACCCAGCAATTGATTATCAACTACCTATTTGAACTAAGATAGCATTTCAAAGACCTGATCTCAGTCTATTTCCCTGTGTGCCAAGCAGTATTCAAATATATAACAAGAGCCAGTTCCTGCCTCAAAGTGCCTGAGAGAGGAAAAATATGGTCATCATGCCATGAGCATATATTGCTGAGTATTATGTGATGAGGTGTTTCCTACAATATGTAATCTTAATAATTGTGATCAGGTAAATGCAAACAGCAGTGCAAACATTTTCAATACTGTAAGACTGACTAGTGGGATTGTGCTGAGCACTGTGTCACTGGACAGGTGAGGGGAGCTAGCCTTGAGTACCAGCCTGGCCAACAACTGCCCGGGAAGTGTCGTCTTCACCCACCTGCCGCATGACCTTTGGCAAGTCCTCTCCCCTCACCCCCCATGCGACAGGTGCAGCCAGAGAGGCAGTCAACTCTCTCCGGCCACTACCAAACATACGCAAAAGGGCACTGATCTCAAGCCTGGGGTTGCCTGAAGTACTATTTGAATTCATAACACCATCCCTGCCTGGCTGTGGAGGCTGGAGAGAGGAGTTGACTTTATACCCATGCTGCTCTTCCAACTTCAGGTTGCCCCGAACAACCCCTGACCTCTGCCAACCTGTTGGTGGCTCCCTCCTGAAGCCCGTTACAGGCAAGGCCGTGTGCCTTGCTGCCATGTTACCTGCCCTGCCTTTTGCTGCAGCACATCCCCTTTCCTGGGGGCAACCGAGAGCCCCTCTCTGCACCCACGGGGAAGGCAGGGCCCTGAGCTGCTGGTGCGGGGCACCCGGTCCGACACCTCAGCGCTGTGGTGGGGCAGTTTGGGGAGAAGGAAGGGAGCAGCCTCGCGGTCCCCGCCGCTGCCCGGCCCGAGGGCGCCCCCGCTGCCGGCGCCCGGCCCGGCCCGG